TCCGGTACTTTGAGAGACCAAGGCTAGAGGACTGTCTGAGACCAGGAGTTTAAGACCAGCCTGGTCAACAAAGTGAGATTCCATGTACACACACACATGCACAAACAAACATACAAATTAAAAATAATAATTAGCTGAGTGAGGTGGCACTTGCCTGTGGTCCTACTTACTCAGGAGGCAAAGGTAAGAGGATCACTTGAGCCCATGAGTATGAGGTTACAGTGAGGCATGATCACACATATACATGCCACCCTTGGTGACAGGGTGAGAACCTGTGTCTTAAAAAGAAAAAAAAAAAAAAACAAGAAACATTCTGACTTTTTATTATCACAACTAAATGAAATCAAAACGTTGTAGTTTCCCAAAATGTGCAAATACCTTTTGCTAGGCTTTAATGCATCCCTTAAAGTTCATGTGTTAAAACTTAATTGTTAATGTGATAGTACTAAAAAGCAAAACCTTTAGAAGGTGATTAAATAATGGAGTGCTCATGAAGGGAATTAATAGTATTTTCAAACCTAATAAAGAAATTGGAAGGAACTGGCAAGGCATTTTTTTTCCCTTAGACCTTAAGCCATGTGAGAATATAGTTCAAGTCTCCATATTGGAAGCAGAGTCTGAACCTTCACAAGATGAATCTTGCCAGTGCCTTGATCTTGGACTTCTAGTATCCAGAAATTTGAGAAATAAATTATATTATTTATAAATTACCCAGCCTGTGTGGTATTTTGTTTTAGCAACCAATGGACTAAGACACACTTTTTTCTTCTCAGATTTATTTTAGTTATAGGAGAACATTCACAGGTTTGTTACCTGAGTATATTGCATGATGGTATGATGCTGAGGTTTGGATTATCAATGATTTTATCACCCAAAGGCTTAGCATAGTGCCCAATAGTTAGTTTTCTAATCCTTGTCCTTCTCCCTCATCTAATAGTTCCATGTATCCATCGTTGCAATTTTTACGTCCATGACTACTCAATGCTTAGCTCTCAGTTATAACTGAGAACATGCAGCATTTGATTTTCTGCCTTGCATTAATTTGCTTAGAATAATGGCCTCCAGCTGCATCCATTTTGCTACAAAGAACATAATTTTGTTCTTTTCGTGGCTGCATGGTATTCCACAGTGCATATTTAGTACGTTTTCTTTATCCAATTCACCACTAATGGCCACCTACGTTGATCCCATGTCTTTGCTATTGTGAATAGTACTGTGATGACATGTGAATGTGTCCTTTTGGGAGAAAATTTTGGGTTTTAGGAGGTATATAATGATTAATGGGATTGCTGAGTCAAAAGATCATTATGTTTAAAGTTTTTAAAGAAATCTCCAGATTGCTTTTCACAGTGACTGGACTAATTTACATTCCCAACAACAGTGAATGAGCATTCCCTCTTCTCCACAGCCTCACTAGCATGGGTTGTTTTTTGACTTTTAAATAATAGCCATTATGATGGTGTGACATAGTATGTCTTTGTGGTTTACTTTTTATTGTTGTGGGTGCATAATAGGTGTATATATTTATGGATTATGTGAGATATTTTAATACAGGCATGTAATTTATAATTAATATACTAGGGTAAATAGGGTATCCATAACCTCCAGCATTTATTTTTTGTGTTACAAACAACCCAATTATACTGTTTTAGTTACCTTTAAATGTACAATTAAATTATTGTTGACAATAGTCATCCTCTTTTGCTATCAAATAGCAGATCGTATTTATTTTCTCTATTTTTTGTACTAATTAACCAGCCCTACTTGCCCTCACCCCATCCCCCATGCCCACTAGGTTTCCTAGCTTCTGATAACCACTTCTCTACTCTTTATCTCCATAAATTCAATTGTTTTAATTTTTAGCTCCCACCAATCAATGAAACATGCAAACTTTGTATTTCTGTGCCTGGCTTATTTATTTTACTTAACATAATGACCTCCAGCTCCATCCATGTTGTTGCAAATGACAGGATCTCACTTTTTATAGCTAAATAGTACTTCATTGTGTATATGTACCACATTTTCATTATCCATTCATCTGTCGATGGACACTTAGGTTGCTTCCGAATCTTGGATATTGTAAAGAGTGTTGCAATAAATATCAGAGTGCAGATATCTCTTTGATATCCTGATTTCTTTCTTCTGGTTATGTACCTAAAAGTGGTATTACTTCATTGTGTGGCAGCTCTAATTTTTGCTTTTTGAGGAACCTCCAAACTGTCCTCCATAGGGGTTGTGATATTTTACATTGTCATTAATGGTGTATGAGGTTTCTCTTTTCTTCACATTCTTGCCAGCATTTGTTATCGTCTGACTTTTGGATAAAAGTCATTTTAACAAGGGTGAGATAATATCTAATAGTAGTTTTGATTTGCATTTATCATATAGTCAATGATATTGATCACCTTATTATATACCTGTTCACCATTTATATGTCTACTTTTGAGAAACGTCAACGCAGATCTTTTGCCCATTTTTAAATCAGATTATTAGACTTTTTTCCTATAGAGTTGTTTGAGCTCCTTATATGTTCTGGTTAAGAATCCTTCTCAGATAGGCAGTTTACAAATATGTACCCATTCTGTGGGTGGTCTCTTCACTTTGTTAATGGCTTTCTTTGCTGTACAGAAGCTTTTTAACATGATGTAATGCCATTTGTTCATTTTTACTTTGTTTGTGATTGCAGGTATTACTTAAGAAATTTTTGCCCACTCCAATGCCCTCATGAGTTTCTCCATAGCTTTCTTTTAGTTGTTTCATAGTTTGAGATCTTAGATTTAAGTCATTAACCCATTTTGATTTGATATTTGTATCAAAGATTAAATGGTGAGAGATTGGAATCTAATTGCATATGGATTTCTAGTTTTCCTAGCACGTTATTGATGAGAATGTACTTTTTCCAATATATGTACTTTTTGTCAAAAAAGTACAAAGATGCTTTTGACAAAGCATCCATGTCAAAAATGAGTTCACAGTAGACATATAGATTCATCTCTGGGTTCTCTGTTCTCTTCTTCTGATCCATGTGTGTATTATGCCACAAACATGATGTTTTAGTTACTATAGCTCTGTACTGTAATTTTTAGTCGGATAATGTGATTCCTCCAGTTTTGTTATATTTCCCTTAGGATATCTTTAGCTATTTGTGGTTCCATATACATTTTATAATTGTTTTCTCTATTTCTGAGAATAATGTCATTGGTATTTTTATTGAGATTGCACTAAATTTTTATTGAGGTTGCTTTGGATAGTATGGACATTTTATTAACAATATTAAGTCTTACAGTCCATTAACAGGGAATATATTTCCATTTCTTTGTGACTTCTTCAATTTATCAAATCAATATTTTATAGTTTTCATTGTGGAGATCTTTTACTCCTTTGCTTAAATAAATTCCTAGGTATTTTATCTTATAGCTATCATATGGTATTATTTTCTTGATTTCTTTTTATGATTATTTGCTTTTGGCATATAGAAACGCTACTGATTTTTGTATGTTGTTTTGTATTCTGCAACTATACTGAATTTATTTATTAGTTCTAATAGTTCTTTAGTGGATTCTTTAGGTTTTTCCAAATGTAAGATTATATCATCTGCAAACAAGGATAATTTGACTTGTTCCCCTCCAATTCAGTTGCCCTTTATATCTTTCTATTGTCTGATTGCTCTAAGTAGGACTTCCAGGACCATGTTGAAGAACAGTGGTGTCAGCGAACATCCTTGTCATGTTCCAGATCTTACTGGAAAGGCTTTCAGGTTTTCTGCCATTCAGCATAATACTAGCTGTGGGGCTTATGTATGGCTTTTATTATGTTGAGAAGAAAATTAAAAAATTTCTTGAAACAAATGATAATAAAAATACAAATACCAAAACTTATGGAATACAATAAAAAGTAATACTAAGATGGAAGATTGTAGTTATAACTTCCTTCATCAAAAGGAAGAAAAACGTCAAATAAACAACTTAAAGATGCATCTTAAAGAGCTAGAAAAGCAAGAGCAAACCAAAATCAAAATGAGTAGGACAAAATAAATACTAAAGATCAGAGTGGAAATAAATTTGAAATAAAGACTGTAATACAAATAATCACTGGTCATTCAGGAGCATATTTTTTTTATTTCCATGTGTTTGTATAATTTCCAAAATTCCTTTCATTAGTTTTATTCTATTGTGGTCAAAGAAGGTGCTTGATATTATTTCATTTTTCAAAATGTTTTAAGACTTATTTTGTGAGCTAAAATATGGTGTATTCTTGTGAATGATCTATGTGCTAAGGAAATAATGTCTATACTGCCCCATTGGATGGAATGTTATGTAAATAACTTTTTGGTCAATTTGGACTATAGTGCAGATTAAGTCTGCTGTTTCTTTGTTGATTTTCTGTCTGGAAGATCTGTATAATGCTGAAAGTGGGGTGTTGATGTCTCTGGCTATTATCTTATTGGGGTCTGTCTCTTCTTTTGCTCTAATATTTGCTATATGTATTTGGGTGCTCTAGCATTGGGTCCATATATAGTTATAATTGTTACTATTTTGTCAATAAATTGACTCCTTTGTCATTATATAGTGACCTTCTTGTTTCCTGGACTTTTTGTTTTGAAATCTATTTTGTCTGATATAAGCGTAGCTACTCCTGCTTTATCTTGTTTCACTGGCATGGAATATCTTTTTCATTCCCTTTGTACAGTCCATGTGTGCATGCATAAGTAAAATGTAGGCAACAGATCACTGGGTATCTTTTTTAAAAAATTCCATTTAAACACTCTATGTTGTTTGATAGGAGAGTGACATGGTTAGGTTCTGTGTTCCCACCCAAATCTCTTCTTGGATCGTAATTCCCAGGAGTTGAGGGAGAGACCTGCTGGGAGGTAACTGGGTCATGGAAGTAGTTTTCCCCATACTTTTCTTGTGATAATGTGTGAGTTCTCATAAGATTTGATGATTTTACAAGTGTTTGACATTTCCTCCTATACACACTCTCTCTGTTTCTTCCATCAGATAGTGAAGAAGGTGCCAGCTTCCCTTCTGCCATGATCTTAAGTTTCCTGAGGTTTCTCCAGCCAGATGGACCTGTGAGTCAATGAAAACTCCTTTGTTTATAAATTACCCAGTTGTGGATAGTATTTTTATTGCAGTGTGAAAATGAACTAATACGGTAAATTGGTATCTCAGAAAGTGGGGTACTGCTATGAAAAGTGGGTACCCAAAAATGTGAAAGTGACTTTGGAACTGGGTATCAGGCAGAAGTTGGAACAGTTTGGAGGGCTCAGAGGAAGACAGGAAGATGTGGGAAATTTTGGAAATTCCTAGAGACTTGTTGAATGGTTTTGACCAAAATGCTGTTATGGTCGATGAAGTCCAGACTGAGGTTGTCTCAGATGAAGATTAGGAACCTATTGGGAACTGGAGTAAAGGTCACTCATGCTATGTTTTAGTGTAGTGACTAGTGGCATTTTGCCCCTGCCCTAGAGATCTGTGGAACTTTGATCTTGAGATAAATAATCTGAAATTTAAACTTATGCTTAAAAGGGAAGAAGAGTATAAAAGTTTGCAGCCTGATGATGCAAGAGAGAGAGAAACCCATTTCCTGGGGAGAAATACATACCAGCTGAAGAAATTTGCATAAGTAATGGGGAGCCAAATGTTAATAGCCAAGACAATGGGGCAAATGTCTCCAGACATGTCAGAGATCTTGGCATCAGCCCTTCCTATCACAAGCCCAGAGGACTAGGGAGAAAAATAGTTCTGTGGGCCAAACTCAGGGCCCCTGCTGCTCTGTGCCACCTCAGGACATGGTGCCCTGTGTCCCAGCTGCTTAAACTCCAATCGTGGCTAAAAGGGGCCAATGTACAGCTTCAACCATTGCTTCAGAGGGTTCAATTCCCAAGCCTTAGTGGCTTCCACATGACGTTGCGCCTGCAGGTACACAGAAGTAAAGAATTAAGGTTTGGGAACCTCTCCCTAGATTTCAGAGGATGTGTAAAAATGCCTAGATGTTCAGGCAGAAGTCTGCTGCAGGGGTGGACTCTTCATGGGGAGCCTCTGCTAGGGCAGTGCAGAAGGGAAATATGGGGTTGGAGCCCCCACACAGAGTTCCCACTAGGGCATTGCCTAGTGGGGCTGTGAGAAGAGGGCCACTGTCTTCCAGATCCCAGCATGGTAGATGAACTGAAAGTTTGCACCATGCACCTGGAAAAAGCACAGATGCTCAATGCCAGCCATGAAATCAGCTGTGAAAGCAGCTATGGAGGCTGTACCCTGTAAAGGCATAGTGGCAGAGCTGCCCAGGGCCATGAGAGCCCATCTCTTGCATTATCTTGATCTGGATGTGAGTCATGGAATCAGAAGAGACTATTTTGAAGCTTTAAGATTTAGTGACTGCCCCACTGGGTTTTGAACTCACGTGGGGCCTGTAGCCTTTGTTTTGGCTGATTTCTCTTATTTGACATGGGAGCATTTACCTAGTGCCTGTACCCCCATTGTATCTAGGATGTAACTAACTTGCTTTTGATTTTACAGGCTCATAGGCAGAAGAGACTTGCCTTGTCTCAGATGAGACTTTGGACTGTGAACTTTTGAGTAAATGCTGAAATGAGTTAAGACTTTGGGCAGCTATTGGGAAGGCATGATTGGTTTTAAAATGTGAAAAGGCATGAGATTTGGAAAGGGCCAGGGGCAGAATGATATGGTTAAGCTTTGTGTCCCCACCCAAATCTCATCTTGAATTGTAATCCCCAGGTGTTGAGGGATAAACCTGGTGGGAGGTGATTGGATCACTGGGGCAGTTTGCCGCATGGTGTTCTCATGATAATGCATGAGTTCTCATGAGATATGATGGTTTTATAAGTTTGACATTTCCTCCTACACACACTCTCTCTGTCTCTCCTGCCACCTTATGAAGAAGGTGCCTGCTTCCCCTTCTGCCATGATTATAAGTTCTCTGAGACCTTCCCAGCCATCGGGAGCAGTGAGTCAATTAAACCTCCTTTGTTTATTAAATTACTCAGTCTTGGGTAGTGTCTTTATAGCAGTGTGAAAACGGACTAATACAGATAATTTAGTCCATTTACATTCAATGTAATCGTTAATAAGTAAGGAATTACTCCTGCCATTTTGCTATTTGTTTTCTGGTCTTTTCTTCCTTTTTTCTTTCCTTCCTGTCTTCCATTTAGTGAAGGTGATTTTTCTCTGGTGTTAGAATTTGATGTCTTGCTTTTTATTTTTTATTTTTTTGTATCCTTTGCATGTTTTCACATTTGTTGTTACCATGAGGCTTGTAAATACCATCATATAACCCATAATGTATGCTGATAACAACTTAACACTGTTTGCATAAACAAATAGAAAACTAATACAAATTCTACATCCTATATCCCCCACATTTTAGCTTTTT